GGTTCATGAGCACATTTAAACCATTTTACTAAATGTGTGCTAACTGCTGTTCAATGACTAAATAAACTATTTAAAAACCCTTTAAGTATGGAAATCTTAGATGTTATTTATGATTCATCTGTTATCTATTGAAAGTAATATTTGAGACAGTAGTGAGTTTAACAGAGAAGAAATCGTCATCATTGGATGAAAATGATCCAGAAAACATTTTGGTAAAAGATATTTTTGATTTTGGAAAGTAAAGTTAAAACTGTATTTTACATCTATTTTTTAAATCATGAAGCTCACATGTTAGTCCGTGGACTGAGACAGATTTCCGCCACACTCGTCCTGTCATTGTTAAGCAAATACGTTCAAAAGTCTGAACCCATCGTGTTACTTGAAGGAACATCACCACCAAACATCTGTTTTTTGCAGCTGTATACAGAAATAATCTCCATCCTTCATGTACATGTAGAGAAAGCTTCAACGCCCTGAACTCGGACGCTTTTTCACTTCCGTCACATTTTTGTTACTCAGATTTCACTGCAATACAAAGTCCTGCACCTCTGTGGAAACCATAGCCTAAAGCAGTGGTTCTCAAACCGGGGGTCGGGACCCCCATGGAGGTCCCAAGATAATTTCAGGGGGTCGCCAGATCGTTATAAAAACAAATAAATAAATAGGGCCTACATTTATCAAATAAATGTGTATCAGGGCTGTCAGAATTAAAAGTGTACTTCTTCCCACTCCTTTATCGAACTTGTTAATATTATGATTTGATTATGTCAGATTATTATTATTCTTTTTTTGCTCTTTTTAATATTATTTTCTTTTGTTTTTATATTTTTTTCCCTTTCATTTGTTCAAAATAAACTCATTCATTCATTCAAAAGAAAATCAACATGTTAATATAAAGGGATCAATGTGTGGAATCAACACATTAGTTTTTAATTCATGAACAACGAAGTTATTACTCATGACATATTAATAATATAAATTGGGGGTTCACGATTCCTGCCTGAATCACTAAAGGCTTAACGGTTACACTGAGGAGTGCAGAACTTTTATTTGTACAGAACCTGCTCAGTGCAAACTGTTTATTTACGGCAACACCTTTTATTGAAACGTGTAAAAAAAAGTGATTTCGGTGAAATATAAAAAGTTTAAGCCTTTATTTGGTCATCTTCTCTGACAGCATGATTAGTTCAGGGACCGTCAGAAAGTTGAAAGCTGAACAGGTCTTTATGTTTTTACTAAGGCCCGAGTGATTATAGCCCTTTTCAAAATACTCATCATTAAACACCGATATATTCTTATTTTCTCATAAAACAGTAAATGCTGTTTAGTGTCACAGTCGCTGTCATACATTAATTTTATTCATACATTACAGACATATTTGTTTGGAAAACTTTTTTTGTTTTTACTGATGCATATCAGGTTTAACGCTTTGTTGCATGTTTTTCTTCTAGAAAACTCCTCTTTGCTGTAAAGTTAAACAAATACTAAAGGACAAAGAGTAAAACAGTAAAATGTTCGGCCTGTGATTCATATCTTTGTTGTTATAGCGTTAAGGGACCAAAGAAGAAGCTATTTTATTTATTATATATTTTTTTATATTAATTGGCCAATTAATTGGTAATCAGAATCTTTTTTTTTTTTGCCAAATATTGGAATCGGCATCGGCCTCAACAAATCCATATCAGTCGGGCCCTTGTTTTTACAGATTCCAGCTTTCACAAATGGTGCAATGTTGATGATTTCAAAGTGTCGGTTGAACCCACTGACAGGCTTTAGGGTTGAATCAGGTGCACATACAGAAGACACGA